AACGAAATAATTATGCACTATGGAAATAATTATGCACTATGGAAATAATTATGCACTATGGAAATAATTATGCACTATGGAAATAATTATGCCTTATGAAAATAATCATGCATTAAAAATAATTATGCACTATGGAAATAATTATGCACTATGGAAATAATTATCCACTATGGAAATAATTATGCCTTATAAAAATAATCATGCATTAAGAAATAATTATGCACTCCATCTTCACTGCATCTTCCTCAGGTTCAGAGCAGGGCGCTTCTCAGACATCTGGTGGGCAGCGTCTGGTGACAGCTGATGGAACGTATGCCACCCAGAGTGCTCTCAGCACTCCTGGGATAACTTCTCTCACAAAGAAGGACGACGAGAAAAGGTCATACTTAGATTCTTTCAATTTTTGGAAGAGCTACATTATAACATTCGAAGGCGATGGAGATCACAAAATATTAGTTAGGGGAGAGAAAAGAACGCGAAAGGGGCAATACTAAGCTAAGTTGGTACAAGAATGGCGAAGGATTGATAAGATAAAAAACGGATTGAATGTTTAAGGCTGATTTTCAAGATACGCAAACAGCTACTGACGTAGTCAAAACGAAGGCTCTTCTTTTTAATGAAAGAGTTGTAGGCAGAGTGCAAAAAAAAACATTTTAATCAGCTTTTCTTATTGTTAACTGTAGATGACTTAATATTTTGATTTGTTGTTTTCCAACAGACCTCCTTTGCGTCAATACCTTTTGGATGGTGAATTCTTTGTTGGGGCGGCCGTCGCTTGTACTTTGACAAAACTTGCTCTGCGCTATTTGGACATGGAGGAAGACAAAGAGAAACAGAATGTAAGTTTCAGGATGTATCGCGTTATTTCTTCATTGTGTTTTTCAGGGTTTTTTTTTTTTTTTTTTCAGTACGGACCCTTTTTGAAGTAGGTGTAATAAAGTGATGTACTTCAAAGCATCCGCCATTGTTGTAAACCCTTCACTAACCAATATGTGAACGCTGTTGTTTCGTTTCAGGTCTTTTGTGCAAACTGTATGCTTATCATGGCCAGTATATTGCATCTTGGAAAGTCAGGCCTACCGAAGAAGGTGCGTGCTTATTTGCGAGTACCCTGTGAAGAAAGTGGTTTTCAAGCTGGTTTTCAACTGCTAGCGGTACTACTCACCTCATAAATTCTCTCTCCCTCGCCACCTCCGAAGAAAAAAAGAAAGAGAATACACCGAAAAATTCTCTCTCCCTTCTCCCTCCCCCGAAGAAAAAACGAAAGAGAGAGAATGATGTCGAGTGCTTTTCGAACAATTATTAATAGACAAAGTATTCGCAATGGCCAATCAGATTAAAGGAAATTTCGCATTGAACCAATAAGAATTCACACGTGAAGCGCGCGGGAAATTTCTTATGACTAAATTAAACTGTGATCGAAGGTTTGTTAAGTACGCGGTACGAGTTAGTTAGCCACTCGTAGGTGTTTTATTGAGTAGACCTAAAGGGATTCTGCGTTGCTTGAAACTTTCAATTGTTAACCGCGTTAGCTAACTGTTTGGTTTTTAGATTATTACCGATGACGATGTAGATCGTATTTCTCTGTGTGTTCGTGTTGTTGCCGAGCGTGTGCCAGTTATGAAGAACATCTTCACTGTTGAGTGTCGTAACTCCCTGTCGTCCATGTTGGATGCCAACAAGAGAGTTGAGGAGGAGAAACACACAAAGGTATTTCATCTTGTAATCTGATTTATTGTTGCTGGTGATCTCTACTGGTTACCAGATGTTAAAGCATTTATGTTTTTTTTTTTTCGTGGTTAGAGAACATTTATCAAATTATTTGTCTCTTTTGTTGTTGATTATGGTCTATAAGGAGCTACGGGACGATTTACATATTTTTCTTTCGTCGTCGACTTGCAAAACTACCTTACATACTTTACATAAATACATACTTTATTTAACGTGGCTAACACTTAGCTATATAAAGCTACTTTACAGGTCAGTCACGGAAGAAAAGATAAATAAACTTAGAAGCTATGTAAAAATGTTTAAAAGGATTTAGTATTAAGGAACTGCCTAAATTTATAGAACTATTAACTTATAAAACAAGAATAAATTGCGATAAGAGATTGCTTTGCCTTTAAAGTGTTTAAAATGATATAGTATATACAAACTACAATTATGAAACTATAATGCTTATATACTAAGAAAGCTAAGTTAAATACAAAAAATAAGGAGCTATAAACCTGCAAGGTCGAGCTCCTTGAGTTCACGTTTAAAACTGCGATAGGTATCCATATTTCTTAAATTATTAGGAATAGAGCTGAAACCTTGAGCTGAAAGGACTAAATATTAGTTTGATAATACAAAGAAAGCACAAAGAGGTACTCATAAACCAACAAGAAAAGAGAATGACAAGGATGGAAGAGATTCACATGGATTGCTAACGACGACGTCGAAAAGTTTTTGTGTTCGAATGTAAGACAGACTAAACAGGACACCCAGCTCTGAAAAGAAGGGGTTGATGATCTAAGAGAACTATTTCAGTTGACCCAACCATCCTCTTATAACAGAGAAATTTTTTTGCTCGATGACGATATCATGTAAAGATGAAAAAATTTTTAGTGTAATAGAAAAAATCCGAGCCCCAGATGGGACTTGAACCCACGACCCTCCGTGATCCAGTCGGATGCTCTAAACACTGAGCTACTGGAGACTCTATGGTGAGCAAGGGTCAACTTGTGGGCCTCGACTGGAACCGCATCGCGCGGCTACACAGCCAAGTATCAACACTTAATTGATTTAACCGTGGATTTTGTTAATATTCACAGGCAGACATTGAGAAGGCGCTGGCTATCCAAGTTGATGACCCAATCCCCTTCATGCAGCTGTTGGCAAAATCAGATTCTGGAATTACTGAGGTATGAAAGAAAATTGGTTTGTTGATCTCCTCAGTTTGTCCCTGCCTTGTTTGATTGTCCGAGTTTTGCATATCACATATATATATATATATATATATTTTTTTTTTTTTTCAATTAACTCTCAGGACCAGTTTGCGCTTGCTTTGTCTCAAGCGGTTGGTTCTACTGGAAAGAAGGATGATGAGCTTGTCGGATCTAAACTTAACAAGGTAAATATCGCGTTACCTCTGTTGAACAAACATTCCAAACGGGTCGATGAAATACAAGCAAGCATAATGATCATTGTTTGTTTTCTTATGACTCTTTTTTGTTTTCAATGGTGGTGATGTATTTGCTATCCAGAAACTTCAGTCTTATTTTCTCTGAAGGTGGTACAGTTGTAATTCTTCTAGGGATCAGAACCGAATAGGACAGTTGTGTTCGGCGACACCGAAAAACGCTGCCATCTGATTGAATCGTTTGTATGGTCAAAAATATTTCAAAGAAAGTACCAGACACAAAAAAACAATGTTAATGTCATTTCGTGAAGAAAAGAACCAAGTCTCCCAAAGGCTTCATGCAAAAATACAATGAGCGCATTGAGGAGAATTCAGATACTGACATGTTTGTCGTTTGCAAGGTGGCGCAGCTGACAGGTTTTTCGGACCCAGTGTATGCCGAGGCGTACGTAAACGTGAATCAGTATGACATCGTGTTGGACTTGCTGATCGTGAATCAGACTTCGGACACACTGCAGAATGTCACTTTGGAACTGGCTACACTTGGTGAGAGAGCTTATGTTTTGCAAGCGGGAAACTTGGAGATTCTTTTTCAACAACCTAAGGGTGGTTGAAATGTTTCCTTTTTTGCTGCTTTACCCGTCGAATGTGGCAAGGGCTCTAACTAAGAGACCCTGTTGGTGTTTACACGATTTTATCCCATAGTCAGCACAAGGCTGTTTTAAACTGTTATTAGAAAAAGATATAAAAATTGCTGTCAAGGTGTGACAAGGTCCTCTGTTCATTAAACATATGAAAGTTCCTGTCAAGGAGTGGCAAGGCCCTCTGCTCATCAAACAAATAAAAGTTCCCGTCAAGGTGCGGCAAGGCCCTCTGCTCATCAAACAAATAAAAGTTCCTGTCAAGGTGCGGTAAGGCCCTCTACTCATCACACAAATAAAAGTTCCTGTCAAGGTGTGGCAAAGTCCTCTGTTTATTAAGTGCTAGTTACAACGTGTTCGCCTCTTGAACATTTCCATCTCTCATATTCTAGGTGACCTAAAGCTTGTTGAAAAGCCACAGCCCATCATGCTGGGACCGAACGACTTCTCTAACATTAAGGTAAGTTTGGCGGGAATTGTCCAGGGCGACAGGATCGAATGGACTAAATGGTTACCACGCAGGACTTTAAATGGAAATATGTTGGTTGGAGCCCAGTCCCTCGCTCGCTCCATCCCTGCTGGGTACCAGTGTGTTGTTAGGGTCTTTTGACAAATTGCTAGTGGATAACCGGCTGGCGATGGGAGATTCCATGCCAGAAGTGTCCTAGACTCTAGATTTACCATGCGGTTGGTTTGTCTTTTTCCTCTTCATAGAGTGGTGTTACCTTACTCTAATGAATTATTGGAGGATATTAATTAAAATTTTCGTCAACTTTCAGGCGAATGTTAAAGTGTCGTCGACAGAGAACGGAATTATCTTTGGCAATATCGGTGAGTATCTGTGACTGCCAAAGCCATTTGGTCTCATCGGGCAGAATGCGTGAACATCATTAATTATTCATAACCGATATAGCGGCAAATTTGAACGCGACATCGTTTTGAAGAGCACTAAATTAGAGAAGAATGGGCCAAAATTGGCTTACTAGGCTTCGTAAAACTCACTTTTCCGAGTTTTAAAAGTGTTTGCTTCTAAATCAAACCACAGATCTATAATTTTTCGCTGCTACAAGTAAATGTCGCAAGAACAATAGGCATTCTGCTCCATGTATATTGTCTCATGCGGCCATACTACATCATGGTTCTCCATTTCCTTCTCAATATACAGAAATCTTCAGGTAACAGTAAATGCAGATGTTTTCACTTTAGAAATTTAAAAACGGCTGAAAAAAGACAGGAGGAATGTCAAGTGTTACAGTTAAACGTGAATGCCATGGTTAATTTCTCTACAAGTATCCATTGCCATCATTTACTGAGGAAGTTGTCTTTGTAATCTGTTCCACAGTTTATGACGTGTCAGGAGGTGCAGGCGACCGCAACTGTGTGGTGTTGAATGATATTCATATCGACATCATGGATTACATTGTACCAGCTTCTTGTACGGATTCAGAGTTCAGGCAGATGTGGGCTGAGTTTGAATGGGAGAACAAGGTAAAGTTACCTTCATAATCACGAATTGTATTTTCAGAGCTTACCTTCAATCGCACCTCAGTTGTTATTCTAAAAAAGGCGACTAAAGCCTCAATATCTCGTAAGGGTCTGGACATCAGTGCCCATTTCACCGCGTTAAAGATCATTTGAATGGCTTTCTGCGTTTGCTCATTGTTTACATTTGTTGCCCTAACGGTCGGGTTCAATGCGAGGTGTGGCGTTAAGGATCATTTGTATGGCTTTCTGCGTTTGCTCATTGTTTACATTTGTTGCCCTAACGGTCGGGTTCAATGCGAGGTGAGGCGGATTAGGGGCTAAATGGACAGAGTGGGTTTAAATTCGTCATAGAAAAACTGAAAGTCATGGAATTTTAGAACGTCATTTTCTAGTCCTGGAAAGTGGTGAATTTGAATGTGGGGCCATGAAAATGCGCAGAAGACTACTAAAAATCATTTTTAGTGACAAAATCAAAGAAAGCAATGTTGTCTTCATTTTTGCATCGTAATTTTGTTTAAGTTCTCGATCAGAGGTAATAGAAAGTGTCTTGATGTGTCTTGGAAGAGCAGTGCAAACCTTGTAGTTTTTTTTAACCGTTTGGAATGAGATCCCAAGAGTTAGTAGCCTTGTCACCTTTATTTTTGTTATTGTTCTGATCATGGTACATGTCTACCTAATAATCAACTTACAAGGGCAGCTTTGAGAGAGTTCAAAGACACTGAAATTTATCCCTACCGTGTTTATCTTTCTTAGGTGACTGTGAACACAAATATCACCGATCTCCGTGAATACTTGGATCACTTGATTGCTTCAACTAACATGAAGTGTTTGACCCCGGACAAGGTTTGTAAGCAACAGCAGTTTCCCTATACTGGGGCAGTCATCGCTGTTTAGTGATGAAATTTCCATTAGTTACAGCGTAACCCAGGCCTCTAACCCTTTCTCGTTTTCCTCAGGCTTTGGCAGGAGAATGTGGTTTTATGGCAGCCAACCTATACGCCCGCAGTATTTTTGGAGAAGATGCTTTGGCTAACGTGTCCATCGAGAAACCCAGTGACCAATCAGGGCCATCAGTGACTGGTCACGTGCGCATCCGGGCTAAAAGCCAGGTAAGAACGACATTTATTTTGGTTTTAATAATAATTATACGTGTAAGGATATCTTACCATGTTTGAGATGAGAACAATCTATACTAATTGCATTTTGTGAGACCTCTGGTCAGTCTCGTGAATATCTGATTTTAAATTAGCCCTTACACTCCCAAAAGTGATCAAAAAGGAAATTCTTCTAACGTTAGTAGTACAATTTCAAACAGAGCAGTGGTAAGAAGAAAGAGAAATATCAACTATGGGTTTTTTTTTTATCGGGTATGGCAGACAGTACAGGGAATTTATTTAAAGGTCTTGTGGGTGAAAGGTTTCGGACAATGTATTTCTAGCGTTCTGTTTGGTTCACCTAATCCTAACTAGTAGTTTATATAACGTGGGTTGATTTTATGTAGGAAATGATTGGAAAATTTAACGAAGGTTTTTTTCCAATGGAATTTGGGCCCACGCTCTTCAGTAGCTGTGTGCTGTCCGGTTCTCAATCCCCTCTCCCCCCCCCTTCTTCGGAGTGATAACGGGTTCATAGGTATCTTCATTACCGTTACATTACTTGGTAACTTCCTGACAATGTTGTTCTACTGTTTTTGACTTCTTTGCAGGGAATGGCTCTGAGCTTAGGAGACAAGATCAATCTATCTCAAAAGAAAGTCACTAAGTAATAAGATTCCATCTTTTAGTCGGAAGATGCAGTGTAATTGTTAACTCAGTGATGCTTTAACTAGAATGTAGTTTTTAGTTATCAAGAACAGTCATGTTAGAAATAAAACAGGACTGGAAAGTTGATTTCAGTTTCAGTTTCAGCTGTCGATTCAGTTACGTTATAGCATGTAAGGTTTCTTTGTAACTGTGAAAATTGCCTATGAAAATAAATATTTACCCGTACAATATCCAGCATAGAAAAGGTAAAGTCTGTATAGAAGCCAAGTGGCCCATCCGGCCGCTTAACTCCGGTTTCCGTACCATGCAGCGACTAGGAGTATCACTACTCTCCCCTGGATGGGATGCTAGTCCATCATAGGGTTACACCCAGCATTAAATCTGCTGGTACCCATTTAAACACCTGGGTGAAGAGAGGCGCTGCGAGGGTAAAGTGTCTTGCCCAAAAACACAACACTCGATCCGAAATCGAGCGCACTAACCATGAGACCACCACGCCGGTGGTGAACCCTTAAACTCCCCGCAGTGATTAGGATGCAATTTCTCCCTATGACACCCACACATCCAGCAGAGAGGTAATGAGAAAATACAAACTTATCAGCTTGAAATTGTTATCTCGACCTAATTCCAAATTCTTGCAACTAATTTGCAAGAAAATCTGTAGCAGCAAGAGAGGAGAATTGAATATTAGATCTTGGGAGTTGAAATGACGGGAAGAGAATAGGATACCGTTATGTATTCCGCTGAAGACAATCCAAATTAAGTTTTATTGATATCACAAACACCTTTATCTTTATTTATTAATTTCCCTTCGCTCGCCTCGATTTTCCATTGAAACTACAAAATCAATCAGTCGATCAAGTGTAATTCAACTTCTTGACGTGCAACTTGATTATCTCAACACCAAATGTCCTTTTTCCTCGGTTTCGACCTGGCAATGTAACTCCTGCCTGTAAATATTCTGAATTTAGAGATTGTCCTTAGAGTTAGTTATTTTGGCCAAGAAGGACAGGAACGGGGGGGGGAAGAAACCAAATAATTTGCTGGCACTTACTTCACCCACGACACTTTTGCTTTGGATTGCTTTAATAACAAGGGTGTTTGAATTTGACGGCATCGATCGGGCAACTTTGCCTTTCTGTCAAAGGAATATCAAGAATTTTGCTGGAAAATTGAAAACTTGAAAACCAGTCAATTATGTTTTAAGTGAAATCGATCGCATTTATGGTGATATTTAAGTTTTGTCGGGTTTGATTTCTGTTTTTTTACTTGTAGCTTCACCGTGCGGCTTTCCTTGAAGTGTTTGCGGTTTACTTTTGCACTCAAATCGTCAGTAACACAACAAAAAAAAGCCCCTTGGGGAATTGATAATAGATCCATTAACGAGAAAGTGCAAACGAGCTCTTTGCAGAGAACTTTAGGACTCTCCCTTGGATTTTATGGTGTCAAAGTGCGCTCTTTTGTTTTCGACAAGTTTTGAAATTAATTCGACTTCCCTTGGGCTATGTTAAAAACAGCATTAAAGTTTAAGCAGTATTCTGGTAATTTGTTGTGAGGTTGAACGTTAATAAGCGACCAATGCGGTTTCCTTTGTTAACTTTTGGACAGCCGTATCAACATGTTATTGTTTTATCTTCATGCAAATCCAACCTTCTCGCAGGTGTACATGTGGTATATTCAAATCAAACCACTTTGTACAGTAAGAAGCCACAATAGAGGAAGCTAAAAGATTTTTCAGAAAGAGTTGTCAAGGGTCTTGTAGAATTATTCTAAAAACTTAGTTGAGCTTGGTCGGAAAATAAGCTTTATTCATCAACCAAGTGTCGCCGTGTGGTTTTCTGAAAAGGACGTGTTCCACTGCCTATTGCAAGCGCCTACAATACGTATTATAAGCGCTACCATCCGTTATTACCTTGTCTGGAGACTCTTTGTTTTGATTCTGTTGACATGAACGTTGAAGTTGGTTTCTTGGTGTTTGTGCTGTATTTTTACCTTTTCCTCGACTTGTTCTCGTCCTTTGAAAAGCTGCTCTGCGCGAATGAAAACAGCCAGGGAAAAAAATCTTGGCGCTTACATAGGAATTTCCTGCCGCAGAATGAAGTCAGAAGGGAGATGGCGTCTTGCAAGAATATGAGGAAAGACGAACGAGCTGTGGACTCTCCTGAAATTTCATTTTGTCGCGAAACTATGCAACCACGTGCAAGAGAGAACGAACGAATGATCAGTTTTGTACAACAGAAATCGCGGTTGTGGGGCAGGGGATAAAGTCAAGAACAGCGGTTTCGATTTCTAAATGAAAGAGGATTGGAACTTTTTAAGTATGTGTCATCAAGCGAACTGTGTATATATTGTACATTTTTTGATGATTCGTTTCGAAGTTGTTTTCTTCGGGACATAAACTTATGAACCGCCAACGGAATTTTTCACTCTTTACGAAAACCAGCAGTTAGTTATGCTGGAGATTTAGGTAAGTGTAGTTCCTGCCGGGAAAAGTTTGCAATGGGCCACCTGACAAGAAAATTTGGGAGGAAGAGATGGGGTTTCCTTCCTTTCACCCACCCCCAGAAGAAGTGTCCAAGTGGACCGTCCTGATAAGGTCTAAACGTGGAAACCTTGGGTCCACAGCTGGAATTTGAGAGACTTGGTGAATCAAAGTACGCAGAACTCCTTTTTTTTCAGCTTTGTTATTTTGCCTATTAAAAAATTAAGATCGTATTAAAAACGTTTTAACGTGATGTTATTGTGACCAGTTGTATCAATGTAGACACTTAGTTAACTGGCAAAGACCCACCATACATCGACTAGTGGGTTGAAATCGTGGGGGTATATTTTATCGAAATTGTGAACCTCAATGCCGGACAAAGTAAAGATGGAACGATCTTTTAAAATAGCACAAGAAAATTAGACCTGCCAAGCTGATCTATCTTGATCGAAATTTTAAGAGGTCTTTTTACTTTGGCAGTAAGATTTCTATTTGTCCTTTCAAAATATTTATTGTTCTAATTTTCAGACGGTGTAATAATTTTATTACTCAACAAATGATTTTTATTATTATATCATATCTTATTTATCTATTTAATTTGTCTTCTGTGTAATACCAGAAATTAAATTAACTTGTACGTGTCTGTCACCAATAGCTAGGTGCATTTATACAGTAAACTAATATGAGTACGACACTCTGTCCATATGATATCAAGTTTGGGATTGAAATTTCACTAATGCCTCATTCGTTGAAACACGTTGAAAGACGTTTCTTCATAAAGTGCCAACTGAAATAAAACCCTTACATTAGCGTCCCCTTCCACTGTATGCAAATTAACACTTTACTGTGACTCGATCAAATCACAACAGTAACGCAGATGGTAATCACTGTAACCTCATTGTATAAACAGAAGCCATCATTGCGAGTGAAAGGAAATCTCACATGGTTTTATTATGTACGTTGAGCTCCCTACGGGCCCACAAACTGTCGGGGGCTCTTTATCAAATGAATTTTATACAGAATATTTGCGACATGTTCTGAGCCTGCTCCTTTTTTTTTTTCGGTTATCTTATTCTACATAAGGTATTCGTTGGGATAAAACTCCCTGTCTGTTCTGATTCGGATTGAGATACGCGGCATCCCAACAGTTAGTGCGCGTGCACTTGACTTCAGGTGGAGAGGTCTGGGTTCGAAAACTGGCTGGGTCACTAAGCAATAAGACACTTAATTCTCAAAGGGGTAACAGCGAACTGTTAGAGAATCTTAATGAAATGCTTGTGGGGGGAGGGAAGGGGGACTGGTATCTAACCAAGGGGGAGTAACAATCGGCTTCTGATGTAGGATCTTCGAAAAGTGGCCAGCGCTAATCCAGAATAAGTCATCAACCCTTTCCTTAGATTCTGTTGTCTAAAAGCGTTTGACAGAGCGAAGGTTCTGAGGGGTTTAGTTTGGTGTTACAAAAAAAACCTGAAGGAAATAAAGTAGCGGTTGCTCAACTGGCTACAAATGAATTAACCTGAGATAAACAATGTGCCCTAACCTTGGGTTTAATCAATCTTCTATTGAATACCTCAGCTCTAGCTTATAGTTGCTTCATCTTACGGAAACTGGAGTACCATATGGCTAAATGGGCGACTAGACTCAAAAGCAAACTTTTCAATTATTGATAAAATTTGCATCATCAAGAAAGGGCCTTATGCATGCTAAAAAGATAGGACGGGTTCGGGTTAATAAAATGAGATAGTGCATAAATATTTTGGAATTTCAAAACTGTGGAAACATACCTGTGAACAGCGCAGCTCAGGATCGACAAGCCGCTTTTTTTTACGTGAGGGGCTTTTTATAATAAAATTTTTCAAGATGTCCCTCATCTAAATAAAACCTGCACAATGGCCTGGGCTTTTATCAGAGTAAACAAAGTGACTGAACTAAATGAACTGAAAAACATTAGTTTTGACTACATTCATTTTTGCACAAAAGTGGCGGTAATGTACCAAATACGGGCGTAGGAAACAGGCCGCAAATTTGAAATGTGTTCATTTACTCTGAATTCTGGCTGCTATCACTAGAAAGGTCGACACATCATACGACTGAAATATAATCGATAATCTGTCCATTAAGACTTCCCTTCCAGTCAAAGCAGTTGATGTTCATTGCTTGTGTTTTATTTCTATTTGTTTATGTTAGCGTCTACAAAGGAAGTTTTTCACATTAAGGTCGCCAAACTAATGGTCTAGTGTTTGAAACAACTGAAAATTTCGAAGAATAAAAATGATAAACTTCCGTAACAATACATTCGCTACAATTCTACGCGATTAGATAAAATCAAAGGGAAGGGTTTCTGATCCCTCATCTTAAATAATTCATGTCCTGAGCAAGGTCACATTGGTAAAAAAAAAAATTGTCAAGAAGACACTTGAGAAATTATATTTTTCCTTAGAAAAGTCAGTTCCAAATGGAAGTATGAGTGCGTCAAAGCTATCAAATATGATTAACGAAGATATCTTTGTCCTCAGAATCAGATATTACAAGGCTTATGGATTAAAATGATTTTGAAAACTCAATTCGGTTAATCTGTTTTGCCTGTAAATTGAGAGGAAATTGATCCCGCCTAAATCAATGGAGTAAGATATGATCTTTAAAAAACATTTTCCCTAATGAAACGCGAACTCTGACCAGCGGGAGTTCTGTTTCGAACGAAAACCGGAGGTGGGTAAGAGAAAATAAATTCTAAAGAAAATTTCATTATATCTGATTAATTAAAAGTTCGAGAATGAGTTTCAATTAGCCTTTCTCCTCAACACTTGGCGATATGAGACTATTCTGTTGATAAGTTTTTTGATGATAGTTAATCTCCGAATTTTATCCGATTCTTACCTTTTCCCCCTAAAATAAAAAAAAAAGATGTTTAGCTTGATTACGCGATGACAATAATATAGTGAGAAGCATCCATTGTAATTGAAAGTGATACTCGAGACCTCTAACAGCCTCAGTTACCCACATATCCTGTCTTTGTATGGCTCGCCTGCATTAACATAAAAACCCTTAAAACCGCACTCAAGAAGCGTAAGTGCCTACATGGGTAAAGTTCAGTATCGGTTAAGCCATAGAGGAAGCGTAAAAGAAAAAAGACAAAATAAAAAAAGACTGCTCGTATTTTAATAAATTTTCCGATGTCACACTTTTTGTTAGCGCCATTCAGTGGCTGATATCGCAATCATTGACGGTCGTGTCAAAATATGTTGATCTTTTTCCTAGAAAATTATTCCAACGCGCTGAGGGATTTATTAGCAAGCAAGGGATGTGTAATCTGGAGATTAGCTTCTCATAGAACTCAATGCCGCCTACGTCAAATAAAAGATAATTAAATAAATGCGACGCCAGGACGAGCAATAACAGATGACACCAAACTAGTTTATTTTCCAAATTCTATAGGCTTTTAAGATAGTGTAACTTGTGGAAATTGACTGAAAAGTATCTTTGTGGCGGGCCAAATGCGTTAATGTAACGGAAACCTAATTAAATGTGTTATGAATGACATCTTATCGACCAACATACGCAGGTGTTGCCGAAATCTCCGGAAGAGTATAAAATGAAGCTTAATTTAACCAAAAACAACCAGCGTCTAAGGCTGTCACCAATTGGGATTCTTGAAATCTGATCTGTAAGAGCGAAACTTTCCTTGCTTTGCATCAGAAACTGAAAAGAAATGGTACTTAGAGGACTCCTTCTGATGTTCATCTTGAGCTCGATATGTTGTGAGTATGGTTTCAGTTCATCGGATATTTACTCTCCCTACTTAAAATAACGATACAATCTATCTTTCATAATGAGAAAATGGCTAAAATACCCTAACTTGGCATCGCTTTGCGGAATTTGTTTCATTTTATCGATTTTCTAAAATCATAAGATAAATCGCCTCATGAAAAAAATGCTCATGACGATAGTAGAAATTCACGATCACGAAACGTAACGAAGCGCAACGTAGATCACTTTTTGTGATCACACGCTGCGAGTTGGTGTTGACGTGCTGTTTCCTAAAGTAAATTTAAGGTTGCAATTTCAGGTTTGTTAGTTCCCTACGCCACGCTGATGTGTCGCTTCTGATTTATGAAATTATATGTTACTCTTTGTCTTCTTCACATGTCGCACTGCCTCTGAGTCGCTGCATGTCTCGAGGCGCTTCGTCAGTCATGACATCTGTTAGTACAAGGCAATAACTTAATTCGGATGACTTTATGTATGAACTGAGTAGACTTCATAAAATGACAGAAGATAATCATGACTTTTCTATGATAATAGAAACGAAAACGAACCTAGGACACCGTCAAGACCTTTGCATCATCATGAAGAAATATATTTTTTTTGCAATGGTTCATTTATAGTCAGCTCGAAAGATAATGAAGACGCTCAAAAATTCAGTTGCAGTCCAAACTCAGGACCACTGTATCTTAGGTCTTGCAAATGCAGTGGTGGACCAGACAACTAAAAAAAACACGAAAAAATCATCTACATTTTGTTAACGACTCTCTTGCCCATCCTTACTGTCCAGTTGGGCTACATTTTCAGAAGCATGGAAGGGGGTCTATGAACAGACAATAATTAGCGAAAAATTTAAACGAACCAAGCAAAAAAATCTTTTCGACAATTTTTCCTCTAACATTAAAAAAAAATTCTTTATTTGCTAGTACATTGTTCCAACGATTCTAGCCGCGAACAGCTGAAAATATGAAACAATGTTTCAAGTTTTTTCGGCTCCATCTTGAATAATTCATGAATGCTTTTCAAAGCAATTAAGCAAATTGCTCGCAAATCAGTAACAAGAAACATACAGTTTTGGCTAATTACTTAGAAATACTTTGTGAAAAATTAAACAAACATTGAACGAGTGTTACCTTTTAAGATTTTGAGTTTACCCAGATAAGGAAATTGAATTAAATTGATTACTTTTTCAATTGGAAGTTTCTCATTTAGATACATTTTAGGAGTGGAAAAGAGTATTGAGACAACTGACCGCGATCATTCCACAACTAATTTAGAAAAAGAAGACTATTGGTGAGGCATAAATGTTCGTTAAACATTTATATCGTAGAAAAATACTTTTGATAATTTCATCGATAAAGAATGCGTGGCAAGTCAACTGGAAAATTTCAGAACGCCATTCTTTATGGTAACACACAATTACTAGCAAAGTTCGGTTCATAATAAATTGACAAACGAACGCTCCAACTAGAATTATAACATAACTAAAGCAGAGCGCGCGCTCTGATTGGTTAATTCAGGATCTACTATTTGCCCATGGGTGCATGCTGCTGACGTGAGCAAATGCTAAGACTATTTTTCCGCGCGCGCTTGTTTTTTCTGATCACGTAAGATTTGTTAAATAAAAGGGAACTCTTGATCCAATGTATCAATTTTATGTTATAAAACAAATGGTGAACGCCAGAGCGTGTACTATTGAGTTATGGATGCACTTGGGGGGTTTGCTAAGCACTCAAGAAGCTAGAATCGCACTTACGCTTCTTTCGTGCTTAGCAACCTTCCGCATGCATCCATAACTCAATAGTACACGCTATGGCGTTCACCATTTGTTAATTGAGGAGCACTGGAAGACATGCACTTTCGTGAAAGTAGTGCCGACTCGCCCTAGCGAAAACGGTGTATGTCTGCGGTTTACTGTAACAGCCTGACCCAGTCTCTTCTGAATGACGCGGTTGATCATAAATGGGATTCACGAGAAAGAGCTGAAAACGAACGCCTAGGACGGATTTAAACATTTTACGTATTGTATACCTTATATATAGCACATTGATGTATTCCAAAAACCTGAGTCAAAGACTTTTGGTGCTCGTGTATCATGATCTTAGGAACTGAATCGACTTCTGATAGAACTACTCCATACTTACTGAATGTTATCCCATGACAAATTTTTCGTGCAGACGATCTAGTTTAAAAATTAGACTCAAACTTCTAAACAAAGAATCGCAATTTCATTAAGGGTAATTTTTGTGATAACATAACAAAATGTAAATGTGTTTATGGTTATGAGGTAAATATAATCCGGAATAGAACAATGTCAACACAGTTCGAAAATTATTTAAATAACAACGGCAAAAAATACTACAAACCATTTTCACTGAGCAAGTTTATTAAAAAAAAAAAAAACAAAACAAGTATCATGTCCCTTTTTTCAGTGGCAGTTCCTGTCTGGGAGAAGCGAGAGATGCGACGGAAAGATGGTGAGTGCAGCACATTGACTTCGTAAAAACCAAAACCAAAGTAATCAAAAGAGCGAATTAAAACAGTCATGGTTTTAACACCAAGACAAGGCTTCAAACTTGGGACTGCAACCGCCCGTGGAAAATCACGAGTGGCTTTAATTTTGCATCTGCTTGGTTGAGAGAGATTGGCAAGGGCGCCTGTTTTTATCGCGTCACAGACTGACAAAGTACAGCAATCCCAATTACCTTTCGACACACAACAGAATATTGCTTTAAAATTATAAACAGTTTGTAATTAATTCTCCTTATCAAGTAAAGCCGGTTAAACAATGCGCTCGAGTGACAAATGAGTTCTTTCATTTCCACTTGAAAAAATGCGTACTAGGACTATTTTGTCTTCACTTGGTTTATGTGAGTGATTTATGTGAAATCATAATTATAGTTAAAAAAAAATTAAGCCCCATAGATTTTTAAAGAGAGTGGTAATGAGCCATGATAACGACCTGCTGAGTATAGGGAGCGAAACTTTTATGAGTTGACAGCTAAAGAAAAACACAAAAAGTGGGTCGATAAGACAAACCTGGGGTAACAACATGACGAGTTTAGTCCGAAGGTTCAAACTTTAAGGTCTCTTCCCCGACAACAACGACTGATATGGGTTTAAGGGCGGATTAAAACTCGTAGATCATTTACTCCCGCATAACTTTGCTACAGCTGTGCCTATCCTTGTTCGGGATTTCAACGTGAAGAGAAAATTTCCTAGAGCGGTCGAGTTTGGTTCAGATAGACAGGTTAGACTTTAAGTATCTCTTTTCGTTTTAGCTACCAGTTGTGGAGCTGATGTGATACGACAGATGGCTAAATTTGGTCTCGACACATCTAAGTTACAGTGCTCCACCCAAACAAGAGGTAAGCTATATTACTTTGGATTGAAATGCCATCTTACGTGTGCCCATCATTTTGTTTTGGTCGATATCAAAGTGGACCTCATTTCTTTTATTCCCAGTCCGTCGCGGTTGTTGTGCGGCCGAGTGTGTTTGGATGGCAAAGGAACTAGGAGTGGAACCCAGTTCCCTCATCTGCCCCACATGAGCAAATAAACCAACCAACGGAAAGTTTTATCGACGATTGACCATTGATTTAACTACCTGAGTACATGTACGCTCATTATTCTTAAGTTTGGCTAGTTTGGATTTTTGTATTTTAATTCGTGGTCTAATACGGCGTTAAATGAAAAAGAGCACGGATAACTTTAGGCATTGTACAGGGAGTCTTCATGTAAAACTTCATTTTACTTTTTCTTTTACAATTTTTTTTTTCTTGTATAGCTAAGGCGAGTAATGATTTTCTTTCCTACAGTAGAAAAAAATTAAATTAAATCAAATGAATAGAGGATAAGTGAATCAATTTAATACAAAAAGTAGAAAGCAGACACAGTATAATTAGAGCAGTTGAAGGAACTTTATTCAAAGTAAGCGAACTGTTTTTTCATTGGAATCGAAGAGTGAGATTCCAAGAGATATGTTGAGTTAAGTTCAAGAAGTTTAGATATGAACAAAATGGAAATAAACACTACCAAATTACAATTACGAGTCCTTCAAAATCGAAAGATAACCGTGACATGTGCGTTCTTTTGATATTCTAATACATTTCCTACATTAAAAAGTATTCTTAAATTTAGAGTATTCACACTCGTTTAAATAGTCCCCCCGGCTCCGCTTTAAAAACGACGCTGATGCAACCTGACTTCTATTAGAGGAAATAGGTTTTGCAAACGATACCAAGTTCCCTCAAATCGTGTCGAAACCATTTTACGATTCTCATTGTTGTATAATTTGACCATCTTGAATGGCATAGCGTCATTCTACAGTCACCATGTCACCTAATCATTTTTGATTATCGAACCTCCAGAGGTTAACCAGCATAGCAATTCATTGACGAAAGTCAGCCGTTGGTCTTTTAATTGGACAAACTAATAACCTTGGTCCTGATTGGCTCAGTATGATCCCATGTGATTTACCGCTTGGACGACATTTCATGTCAAGAGCGCGTCACCACTTTATGTTCAGTGCTGTGTTCAGTTTTTCCACCTCGTGATAGTTGGTGTGAAGCATCTCTTTTGCCTGACATAAATAACAAGGATTTGAAGAACAAGTTGTGTTAAAAAGACCCCACTACAACTGACTTTTTGCAATGTACTTCATCAGCTTGCAGCTCTGAAATTTGTGTCGTAACACTTGTGCACGCGATGTTAATGAGGCAAGTACGCTCTTAATGCTTTCAATGCTCTCACACTTCCCATGTTTTGCGAAAAAATGTAAAACAGAAATGTTTCCTGAATCACTTGCCTCTCATTTCTCTCCAATTCAAACAAAAAAGAGCAAATAACATAAAAAAACACGGAAACCAGTTTGATTAAGAAATCCAGGTAGTAGAAAGCTAACAAGTTACCCGGTCCCACCCATTCTGTTCTTTGACGTTCGTTCCAACATATAAAACATGTTCAACTTTCAAATGCTACCTTAGCACAATAACAATTCTAATATGATTCTGTTACATATTTGAACATGTTTGACAAACCCTATCCTTTTGAGCCTTTGGGTTCGTTAACTCATCCTTGATATATCTACATGTATATACTATATGAAAAAAACTACGTTTTCACACCTTTTGAGAAGATTCTCCACCGAGCCACTCTCTAAAACATGGAACAAACAACAACTTCAAAAAGACCACATCATAACATCTTATCGTTTATTTCATTACTAGTCTGGGAGTTTCCATCATTCAAACAAGGTCAAGCTGAAGAATTAAGACTTAAGATTATTTGTTTACTCGGTTTGTTATACCATCATCTGCAAACAACAGTCTCTATAATTCTAAGTCGTCTCATTATACATACTATCCGTCTGTCTGAGGTAAGTTTGCCGATGCGCTCTATCCAAATGCAGTTAGCCGGTAGTTTTTTTATTGCATGCCATTCCATCGATATCACTCTTGGTTTACACTACACAGTGACTGCCAGCACTCGTCACCAGACTTCCAGCGGGTAAAGACTAAGCAGTCGGGTCTCTCATTCGCGTAGATGCTACTAAGTCTAAATATATACAATCCAAACGTTTACTGATCGTACTCACTTGTATAACTTTTCTACCGCTGGGTTTTCACTCGGCTTTCTTGATCTGGACAAAACAAAGGTATAGACAGTGTTAATAAGATTCAGGGGTAGCACCCTTGAGCGCAGTTACCAAACAAACAACAGTAGTTTTTCTCTGCAGGAAATTGTTTTCATGGGATTGAGTTAAACACGAAGGCGCGCTATAAAAGGAGCCTTAGGTCCCACTGGACCATTTGTCAATCAACCGTCGTGTGATGCAGAACTCTTACAGTCAAGTCAGCTTGAGCTACAGCTACTCCAAAGCAGTGAACAGCGGGCGCATTCCTCAAAATTGTTTTATGTCTTCATCACAATACAAGAATTTTTGAGATTTGTATTTCCTTTCTCCAATGGAAACTGTCTTTACTTGTGGCGGTAAATTTGAGTTCGAAGTAGGTGGTTCGCACGTTACCTCATGCCACCATGCTGGTGGAAGTAAACAATAGATATCTCATAAGCTCCTTTTGTTCGTCTATCAGCATTTGAATTTGACCCGCACACGTCAACGGTGAGTGACAAATGAGCCTAGGTCTTCCCAGGGAAGACTTCCTTATATAGCGCGCCTTCGTGTTTAAGTAGTATTTCTGTTTGCATCACTAAGATAGAAAGCCTTCTCTAACGGTTGAGTGAGTTGTGTTTTATGAAGTGAGAAACTGCCCGAAGAAACACGACAAAAGGTGACAGCGGCATGCTGCTAAGAAGGTAATGGAGGTTACCTCAGTGAATTGTAGAGTTCATCCAGTCTGCCTATTAGCTCTTTTGACGTTTCTCCATCCCCAGGCCTTATCTGACCACCTCCGTTGAGACAGCCTGGGAGAAACAAACAAAAGCAAACTCAAGCAAATGATCACAGATGTTTCGAAGTTTCTTAATTTGGGGCCTTCTTGAAATGTTTGCCTCATCCAAATTACCTCTAGGGGAATTTGAAATCGAAGTTGACGTCCACTTTGACTGCTATCAAACAAACACGACTGTGTTTCTCATTCCCACGCATTTTCCTTAACCAGGCAAAACCAATATTTCATTCCACTCGTGTCAATCAGGGATAATCAAACTGATTACAGTTTAACAAATAGTAATAATAATTTCGACACAAAACTCCTAGTAACCGGTTTACCCTGACTATGGTGGGGGGCTGGTTTCGTAAGTGTAAGCAGAAACAAGATAATGAGTTCATGAAACTCATAGCTCTTCCCGCCAAAGCTTATCCCAGTTTCCTCTTCCCTCCGCTACATTTCTTCACCTTTCTCTGACAGTTTGATGGTTATCATTTATACTCCTGGGAAGAGAGAGGCAATGTAAGAACGAAGTGTCGCGCCAAAAAACACCGAACACAATTCCGTGGCCTGAGCTCGAACCCAGGCCCCTCGATGCGGAGACTTCAAACTCACCCGCAGGGCATGCCATGACTTCCACAAAATGATATGGAGACTTTCCACGCTTTATTTTCTGAACAAGATTCTAAAATCATTCACAAGAAATTTTAATAAGTATAATATATACAGTCTAGTAACAATTAAACAATTCGTATTAAACACTTCTATTTTACGCCTAGCGTTTACATATTTCCATATTTTATCGCTTTTATCATTCCCACGTCTTGAATTTAGTACATATATGTAAAAATTTTCCTTTTCATCAGCTTGAAAATAACCTCAGCGAGGTCGAAACGTCGTTCAAAATTATTATCACAAATTTTTATCTTGAAAAGCTCGTATAAGCTAACCTGGATATTCCGAAAACCGTAAGCTGCTGCAAATTTAAGGACTTCTTGACCATCCACCTGATGAGTAAAAACTTGGACTTTATTACCTCGCCCACAGAGGCAATCAATACAACACAAATGAGAACGTGGCAGGAGATGAAATTCAATGCTGATGCTGCTGCAGCATCCAACTACGAGAAGGGACCGCTCATTATTCAACACGGGGAGGGAGCTTGGGGTGGGGGGGAGAGTTTGGAGGATTTTGCCAAATAATTTTACCTAATCCCCCTGAAGGCTCTGTAGTATTCTAATGATTCCGCCCCCCTCATTGGGAGTCAATTTCCTATAGTCCCCTCCCTTAATAATCTGTTCGTGACGACTGGTCCTTCCCGCACCCCCTGAAAACCATGTAATTCCCCCACCAAAAGAAGTCCCTTCCCAAGCCATAATAACTGGTCACTAATGTTAATGAGTAGAGTCACGTCAAGCACCTTGCAAAAAGGATGTTGGAAAAAAAAAAACGTAAATCAATTGCCAAACGCCCAATTAAGAGGTGAAAACAAACGTAGGCTGCCATTACCTGCAAGGTCACTTCCTTAAAGTCCTTGTTTCTTAGAGTCTTGTAAGTTATGTTGTCAACAGTCTGACCATACAACTGAGAAAAATGACACGTGTGAACGCCACTTAAAAATACCAGTCGGTAAACAACCATGAATTATCAATTATTAAGTCAAATTGCACAGGTCACTTTCAATCGTGCTTTTCCAAGTTGAAGGAAGTATACAAGAAGTCCTAAAAGTAGACCTATAGTTGCTTCTTGATAAAATTCTGACGCTATGTCCAGTGAAAAAAGGACAGAGGTAGGTAATCAAGGTTATTGGAGGTCTGCGGGAAAATTTCCCCTTTCCCAAATCCTTAAATCGGCTCCAAGCCGAATAAGTTTGTTAATGTGTAGTGTCACAAATCCTCTCAGCATTTGCTTATCACACTGTGAAAATATCACAGAAAACTTGCAAAGATGAAAAAGAATCAACATTCCGTGAAATAAAGATCGATAAGTAGAAACCAATCGAATCGAGCAGGCCAAAACAAACCAATTTTGATAAAGACAGTAAAAACATTTTATTTGGTATCCTTGTAAATTGTTTTCTGATACTTGCCTCCTTGGCAGCGTAAGTAAAGATGTTCTCTAGAAAGCCACCCTGCAATATATAATAATTAAACATAATTTACTTTTAAGTTACACTAAAAATAGGACCAGACCTTGTGATCAAAACGGGATGGTTTGTTGATATCTCGGTCAGGGATGTGACTCAAAGGTAAAGCTAGCCTACAAAGACACGTGGTTTTAGAAAAAGTTTTGCTTATTCTGATTCAGAAAACTTTGATCCATGCAACATAGAAAATAAATATATACAGTAACAAATACATAAAACAGTAATAAACATCTCACCGAGCCACCCCCAGAATGGCCTACAAGTTCTTCTTGATCAACACTTGAAAACCTGAAACATCCAGAAGAACAACTCGGTTACCCTTGAAAAAATGTTTGTAACAACGTAAAAGTAGCATGTCTTAAAAGAGCGCGAACTCACAACTGGTCCAGTTCAGCATTCTCGAGCTCAGCAAAGTTCACCCTCTTTTCTTCAAACATTTTCTCCAGTTCAACTAAGCAGAGGGAAAAAAATTAAGTCAAACAACCACTGTCCGAGATAAAGACCATTAATCTAAAAAAAAAGAAAAACGTTTCCGTATCTAAAAGCTTTTGAGGTGCCAGCGTTAAATTTTGCTTGGATTAACGAATTGGAATGGAATTCCACGAGTTGCTGTATTTGAAAAAAATACGCAAAGTGTTAATTGTAAATCAATTAACGAATTTTCTACCTTTTCACACCACAATGTGCTAGGAGCATTCCTAACGCACACACTTTCTCTTCTCGAGTATCACTGACAACTCGTTACCCAAACTATCATGGGAAGTTTCCAATTTTTATTTCGTCCTCTATACCCAAAACACGAAACAATAGGGGAGTCTTTGTTTACAATATTTGCCTCATTAGCATAAGCAGTTCAGTTTCTGATGGAGCTAAATATAAATCGGTTCTGAATATCGAAAGATCAAAGTACGATTAACTCGGCCAATAAATACGCGCCTGATGCATTGAACACTTTTTGTGCAACACGGGTTTAAAAACTCCAAATTTTATATAGAATGTATGAGCTCATTAGCGCTTTTGCCACCCAGAAATTTTGCAGTTTTTGATGGACTATTTCTCCTTGAATATTACACCCAAAGAGCTAAAAATTTCACCATGTACTAAGGTTTTCTAGCTCTTTAGCTGCCTGAAGTCAATTTGTATCTAACATGCTTCCTTCTTTCCGTAAAGCTGTGTGTAAATGAGCAAAAAGGTAAACAATGACGTCAGCATGAATTCGCCTATAGCTAGTTACAGGCAGCAAGCAAAAGGCTGTCAATGGGGGGAGGGGGGGAGGGATTGTCTTCCCCTACAACCATCTGTTATCACTTATTCCTCTTTATAAAACGAAATACTTGATTCAGGTTTTTCGAAGTCATAGAGATTATTCCATGGAAAGTGGGCACAAACGATTTTTTATTCACGAGTGCGTGCAAACGTCTCCATTTCCTTTCTTGCAAAGGAAATACGAGACGTCTGCACGCAAGCTACGATACATAAAAAAAAAACGAACGAGTGAGTGCAGCGAACAAGTGAGTTCGATGCAACGTAACGAGTGAAAAAAAAATTGTCCAAGCACTTTCTCTGTTGATATTCTTATTTCATACATATGGAGACTCGTACATTGTTCGTCCAATCAGAACGATAGTACGTCAGACTAAATCTCAGTATGCGTGAAATAAAAGAATGTTTCTGACTCACAGTCATCACATCACCTCGTCTTAGAAACCCTTACAACAACTACTTAAACAATTATATAGCTGCAGCTCTTCTGCAAAATAAAAATACTCGATTTAATAATTGAAATGAAATGATTACCACTAAAACAAAATAGAAGAGCCTACTTGTTGAAATAACACAATCCACATCTCTTGTTCTGTATATATCATTATAAAAGTCTTCTCTGGAAGCTTCAAGCTTTTTGTCATAACATGGCATTATGGTCACATGATAGACTTCATCTGGTCTGTCAAAAGAAAAAGGGGAAAAGGATGTAAAAAAATTTGCAGTGTCCCAGGAACAGGTGACCTACACAAACAAAATGGTTGGTATACGTTGTCTGAAAGTGCCAAAATTTAACTGGATCAAAAAGAGAAATTTTTGTAAAAGTGTCTATACGGCCAACAGGGTTTTTATTGTTTTGATATCTCTTTAACCTGCAAAAAAGTATTTWAAAAAAAAAAATTGATCCTGACGCCTCTTCACCCTAAAATCGAGCTTTAAAGTTCCCGCTTCGGCCACGCCCAATGAAGTTGTCCGCGTAAGGGAAGATTGGTGATGAGTGACGTCACTCCAGGAGTGTCTCGAGCGTCGTATTGTTACTTTGCTTGACAAACGCAGTAATTTTACAACACATCTATCGGGCATATTTATGTCGCCGAAAACTCTTTACCTTACTGAAAAAAAAAAACAGCGAAATGAACCACTGGCGGGATTTGGCGCGTTCCTGACTTGACGTCACGACCCATTCTGAACCCAATCTCTTTTTTGCCCCGACTCACGGTCATCTTCAATGGGCGTGGCCAAAGCGGGAATTTTAAAGCTCGATTTCTGGGCGAAGACTCCGCAGAATCCAATTTTTATTTAAGAATACTTTTTTTTACATGTTAAAAATATACCAAAACTATAAAAACCCTGTTGGCCGTATAGACACTTTAAGAGTGACTAACTTCCAATATTATTTTTCCTTACAATAACACCCTTGTATCAAATTATAAAGGTCATGAGAATACAGGAACTGATCACTTATTTCAGAGCTCTTGATCGTCAAACTAATTCTCCCTGTCGTTATTGTAAGAAACGTGAACACAGAGAGAACAATGTCAATGTTTGGGTATAAAGTGTTAACAAGCAATCTTACCTTTTCCCCAGTGATTTTCCATAGTGATCTTTGATTAGGGAACCCATGATCTGCTGTGGAGATTTTGTTGTGCTTCAAAAGAGATCAAAGTCAGAATCTAAGATTAAATACAGAGACACTCAAGTATATTTCTGTAGCAGTTACTGCTACAAGTAAACAGCTAACAGGCTAACCAACATGTAGAGTTGTTTGAAGACACACCATATCATTGTCTTGCTCAAAAACAATTGTAACATTCACAAGGATAGTGAAGGAGAGAAATGTCTGCACTTACTACAGTTAACATGCAATCTGCTAATGATACAGCTGTGGCATAGATTACATTTACTGATCTAAAACAGACTTATGATGACAAACTGCAACACAACTAGGAAACTGCACCACATAGTAACCAATAATGCCTTGTATGCAAACAAAATTGCATGAACTTATCATAAGCAAAAACTAAAACAAGCGAATCAGACTTTTCTCTTCTCATTCACATACAGCACATTCATTAGCTATCCACACTGTAGAGTTTTCACCTCTAAAAAACATAAGAAAACTTAGAATATAAGCAGTCCCTGCCTTTCAGCGAAGTTTGTCATGAGAGTCAAAAACAAAATCAGTGTTCAAAAAATGATGTTGGCTTGCCACATTGAACTCCAGTCGTAGGTACACAAGAGGTAGTTATTACTTGCAGAGCTCTGCACAGTACGCTGAATAATATTTTTCCACTGATTTTTTTTTTTTTCAACTTGCACAACAGACTTAATCAAAAAGCAGGGGCTGCTAAGTCTACAATAAACTGAAATTGCCTGTATCTTCACATTGGGAATCTAAGCCCCAATCAGTCAATTTTAAAAGGAAAGAATGAAACAAACACCTGATGAAGGGCAAAATATAGCTACCATGAGTCTTCTCAGCATAACAAACCCAACCTGAAAGGGTAAGGGTGTAATGACTTACTTGTTAGTATATTTTTAAAATTTCCATCTAACGTAACGATAGGAGCTTTAATGGGAATGCACACTTCACAAGATAATAAAGATTCCCAACAAAAAAGGCAGCTTTGACTAGGACAAAATTTGCAAGCAGTACATCAGAGAGTAACTATACAACAACTACACTTCTCATCTCCAGAAACAGATGCTTAGAAGTTATAATCAGAACAAAAAAATGAGAATTGATTGAACAAAAACCAATGAAATACTTAAAACATGATCAAAACAGTAGCTGCACCCTTGAAATGTAGGAAACACTGTTCTCACCAGGGCAAGCTGATGCTAGCATGGGTATAGACTCTTTCTCTCCAGACCGCCGTCCCTTTAATCTGCGAACAAACTCTTGTTGACTACAAAAGAAATACAGCTTGTTACAATTTTGTTTCATAGCACACAATGTAATTTATATTGTGGGTTAAAAGGACCTCCAAGTAAAACTTATTTCCTCTCAACTGGATCTTAATTTTCATTTGTTAAAAAGACATTACTGCAGTCATGAAACATCCTTAGAATTGTTTAGCCTGAAGCTGTTTTAAACTACAACACAAATTATAATTACTAATACTGAATCCCTTTCTCAGTAACCACAAGACTAATATCTGTCCTGTTGAGCATCAAAAAAGATTAAAAATAGGTCTGACTTACAATAATTATTAATACCTCTCTGCAAGACTAAAATCTCTTGAAAAAGTAGTGTCAAAAATATGGTGAACGCCTGCAATTACAATGGAGAATTCCTTGGTTTGATTGTTTTCATCAGATTTAACATTGATCCTAAGCTAATTTTATAAGTCTGGATGTCACCATATCTGTGTCAACAGCTAATTATTTGAAGTATGTTTTACATAGTAGTGAATTAATCTTCCAGTCTTATAATTTACCTAGACATAATTTAGTTGATATTTGATTGCATCTTACCTAGATTTTTGAGAAATGCTGTTAGTTTTTTAGCTGTCTGCAAAAAAGAGTAAGGGAATTTTTTTTTTTTACAAATAATTCAACTCCTGGTAAACACGACAGAGTTGGCACTATATATGAGAAATTACTGACAACTCAGAGTTATCAGAGCAAAAAGGTATAATGATTTGACTGCATAAAAAGCAGAGGGTAACCCTTTAAATAACAAGTCAAGGAAAAACTTTTATTTATTTATGTTCTATAGCTGGTAAGTTATGCTGGGTAAGGGCTGACAGTTTCAAAAGAAACTGTTTGGGGCTGCGTCGGTGGGAGTAACAAAATAATTTGGATATATCAACAAAGTTGAAGTGGTAAATTGGCCACAGTAACGATTACAAAAGCTGACGTTTCGAGCGTTAGCCCTTCGTCAAGCTGGGTAAACATGAGTACATGAATGGTTTTGTGGACTTAACTTGGTCAGAACATGTTATCTTGGCTCATAAAGAGAATTTATCATAAATGTTAAGCTAACTTACCTCTGTAATCAGATACAATGAATATATGAACTTTCAGATATTCATTGTATCTGATTTATCATCACGGGTTTATTACGAATCAACTTAACGGCCTGCTCCCAGTTGGCTTGTTAGCTCAATTGGTAGAGCGCTGCACAAGTATCGCAGAGGTCAGTGGTTCGAATCCCGTACAGGCCTGATTTTTTTCAGGTCTGATTTTCGCTATTGCATAAATAGCGCTATCTACTGCGAGGATCGTACATCATACTTACCTCTGTAATGTTCAATTTGAACTTTGCTGCAATGGAAGCACGTGATTGAGGCGATACAGAGACTACTATCAGTTTTTGCCCATCTGGTTTACCTTCCTACACAAAAGACAAGTTTTTAAAGTTTGGACATCTATACCAACTTCAAGATCACAAACCACTCTTCTCCATACAAAATTGTAACAAGAGTGGTGGCGACAAAGGAAATTCATGTCTATTTGACCTCAGCTGCACAATTTTTGGTTTTAGTACATGTACATCATATCATTTTCAGTTCATATCATGTTTGATTTAGTTTCTTTTTTAAATGGCCAGATTTCTTGTGCAAGGTGCTGTAAAATTTTGGAGGGCAAGCTAATAGCACTACATACACACATACCTTAGCAAGTTTTTGGTTGTATTCTATAACCTTGTACAACTCTTCCTGACTCTGTTGAGTTATGAGAACACTTTCTGCTGATGTTATGCAGCCACTAAGGAAAAAAATTGGGCAAAAAGTTTAATCCAGATCAAATAGCTCTTTTTATTTGAAGATAGGGAGAGTACACAAAGAAACACAAGAGCTTTGATTGAGTGCATCATGGATAGCCTCAGGTTTTAGAGATAGTAATTGAGGAATACCATTGAAAAAAATATGTACATTTTTTGCTTTAAATAAAAAAAATAATCAGGTAATCATTTTAAACAAGTAAATTAAGAAAATAGGGATGATACCCAATCATGAAGTTCCTTTGCCCATTCAAATCCATCTGGCATGTGAATTAAAAACAATAAGGACACAACAGAAAGAGAACAAACAATGTTTTTTTTCATTACAGACCCTATTAACTATATGTAAAAAAATCTCTCACCTACAAGCCAAGCAATCATTTAGTGTAATCTGCGCTCTTTGGAGTTTGGTTTTCTCTCCACCCTACCAAAGTTTAACAATTATAGCACTCTTTGAACTTAAGCTAGAAATCCAGTTAAAAAAATGTGGTATCATTAGAACTTTCTTATTGCCCATTTATAAGAGGGAGACACAGTGGCTATTGGTCAGTGCACTGGACTCTGGCCCAAGAGGTCCTGGTTGGAGACCTGGCCGGGGACACTGTGTTGTGTTCTTGGGCAAAACACTTTGCTCTCACCGTGCCTCTCTCTACCCAGGAGTATCAATTGGTAGTGGCTAACTGTCAGGGAAGCCTGATAAATTGCTGAGGGGGGGGGGG